TTTGCTGAGAACATGTATGTGGATGTGCTTGATTGAGCCAATGCACAGTGTATTTTGGATGGAAAATTCATTTGTGTGTTGTGATGGTGTAAAGTGAATTAGTAAAAAAAAAAAAAAGAATACTATACTCAGGAAGATTATCCTTCATTTAGGAAGAAAAGATAAAAAACATTCTCAGATAAATAAAACCTGAAAGAATTTACCAACACTGGACCAGCTCTCCAAGAAGTTCTGAGAGCTTTACCAGGAAAACTCAAGCCACATAGACAGAAATAAGAGAACAAAAAGCAACCAAGAAAATGCTAGGGACAAGTCCAGAAATATCAATAATAACGTGGATTATTAAATTCCAGGATTTAAACAGAAAGGTCAGACCGTACTAACACTGCAAATTTAATGGAAGAGAGATTAATTACATGAGACTGAGCTGGTGAAATAGAATTTTATGACTTTTGGGACCAGCAGTTGGCGTAATGGCTATGTTGCTGGACATATAGTCAACCATGGTTTGAATCCCGGACCCAGTGGCCTAAACTCATGCCAGGCACATATGTGCCCAAGATCCTGAGAGTAGAGTGGAGAAGGAATTGGGGCGTGGCCATCCTCCCTAGGGGGATAATTTCTTGCTTTCGACTACATGGGAGTCCAGTGAAATAGCCATTACGCTAACTGCTGGTCCCTCTTTTTATTTTTAATTACAACTTATTCATTTTTTCTTTTTTTGTTTAAGAGTTATTTATTTACTTATTCATTTATTTTAATTTGACCAGAGAGAAACAGAGAGAGAGAGAGGGAAAGTGAGAAGGCAAGACACCACGTCTGGGACTTGAACCGTGGTTGGAAATGTGGGACTGTCCAGCACCTTAATCACCACGCCACCTCTGGTCCCCAACTTATTCTTTTTTTAAAAAATAATTATTTATTTAATTTTATTCATTCATTCATTTATTTTAATTTGACCAGAGAGAGACAAAGGGAGAGAGAGAGGGAAAGCAAGCTACCAGTCCGGGCCTTGAAATGTGGTTGACCATGTGGGAGTGTTCAATGCCTTAACCACCAGGCTACCTACTGGTCCCTATCATGCTTTCTTTTCCAGGTTTAAGGATTCTGCTTTTTATTGAGCTGTTGGTAGTTTCAGCAATATGTTAAAAAAAATTTTTTTTTGCTTGATTGTTTTTTCATTTGAAACGTAAACTTTTATCCCTTCCTGACCCCTCTGGAATTGGAAAATATTAGGGTGTATTCTTATTTTGTGGCATAAGGGTTATTTGCATAAGTTCAATAATACGTATTGACTTGCATCAGGAATTCGAAATACCGTTATTGTCAGGGCTTTGACTGGAATGCCGTATCTGAAGATATGACCCGAAAACTATGGAACTAACGTAGATCTCAAGAAAGCCAACAGAAACTCTTGGAAAGATTGGTTGGTGCCATAAACAGTTCTGCCTGGCAGAGAGGAACAGAGAAGTCATTTAAAAGAATTTGTACCAAAAAATAACCTGGACTTTTCCAGCCCAGCATTGTAATCAGTAGAGACTGCAAAAGAGTAGTGATGAGAGGATTACCTTGAGGAAGACTTTGAAGGAAGAAAAAGAGGCTGATCTTTGCTAGCAGGTGGTAAACACGGGATACTTGGTAGGCAGAAGCGCGTTGAAAGGACTCATGTGTGAATTGTGTGCTGGGTGTTTGCTTCTCAACAGTTTGAGTAGTTGACATGTAAATATTTTCTCAAAAATATTTAAAACCATACTGTCTCTATTATAGAGTCACAAACAAAATTATAACAAATATTTTGAATGTTATCTTTAAAATTCAGGGTTTTTTTTAAGGAAATTTTGAAATTTGTTTATTAACTCAAGAACTATGGAGTATGAGCAAAAAAAAATTTAAGAATTACTTTATTCAACTTTATTTATTTATTCATTTTAATTTCATCAGAGAAGGACAGAGTGAGATTGAGAGAGAGAGAGAGAGAGGGAAAGCGAGAAAGCAAGCCTCCAGGTCCGGGACTCGAACTGAAGTCAGCTATGTGGAAGTCCAGTGCCCTTAATCACCACGCCACTTGCTTGCCCCTGAGCAAAAACTTTTTGATATGTAAAGTAAATGTGAGAAAATGTAAATAAATAAATAAATTAAAAAATATCAATCAATGATATATTGACCGTTTTGTTCAATACCTTTTGCCATCTTTCAGTGAGCTTCATAATTCCTCATTCATAGAAGGACCTGTCTTTATCAGTGAAATACTGAACTGAACTGAACAAGGTGTTGATTTACAGCCTCATTTGAATTGAACATTATACCACACAAGAAGTTTTGTTTTTTTGTTTTTGTTTTGTTTTGGAGAGGTTTTTGCTATAGGGCACATGTGCTCGCCAGAAAGACAGAGAGAGACAGAAAGCGAGAAATCACCCCCAGGGGGATGGCCATGCTCCAATCCCTTCTCCTCCATTCTCCTCTTGGGATCTTGGGCATGCATGCACATGTACCCAGTGTGAGTTTAAGTCAGTGGCTCCAGGACTCAAACCATGGTTGACTACATGGGAGTCCAACGACATAGCCATTATGCCAACTGCTGGTCCCCTCACTTTCCTTCTCTATCTCTCTCTGGCCAACTTCAAAAAGATAAAATATAAAATAATGACAATGAATAAAATTAAATAAAAATTAATTCTTTTTTAAAAAAGGGAAGAATGTACGTCAAGCTTGTGGAAATAAAACAGTAAAGATAGTGAAAATGCAGTTTGGTTGCCCATCTTCAATTTGTTGTAAAATCTCCAAAACTCAACCAAATCATTTAATGTATTTTCCTTTTTAGAATGAAGCTAGAACTGCCAGCTGTCACATAACATAGCAATGATATAGATGAGAACGACTCTTAATACTTCCAAAAATGAACTAGGGCCATCTGTTGCATCATGACTTTCCTGGTAACTCAATAATACAAAGTCAGTAGGGGACAAGAAACCCTAGAAAATATAATGAGCAAAAAGGGGAGAATGGAATAAAAATCATCCCTATTCCCACTGCACAATAAACCCCTGTCATGCATCCTTCTAGACCTTTATGTGAGTCAGTCGTTAGAGAGAGACCGTGTAGGAAATTTCCTTCATTCTTAGAAAATTATTTACAAAAACTAGAGAGTTTCCAGGAAGTCTGATTGCTCTTGGGAGCCAGAGGGCTCTACTAAAGTGTGTGTATATCTTCCTGTGTCTGGTTGTGATGAGGACAAGGGTTCAGGTAAGGACCCTCTGACCTGGGCTGCTCTGTGGCGCCACCCTAACCCCACTTTCCAGGCCTGCCCCTGTCCTCAAATCACTTTATTGGCTTGCCAGGGAGCAGTCAGAGACGGTCCCCACCCCAAGGGAAACTGTAGGCATGAAACTTGGTCCTGCACCTTCCACTGTCTCCCATGAAATCAAGGCACAAGGCAAGCTAGGCTTTGGAGAACCCACCTTGGTTCAGGCCTCCACTCCCTCACTTACTTGGTCAAGTTATCTCACCTCACTGAGTCTCCGATTACTATCTGTAAAACGGGATGGAATTATATCTACCTGACAGGGTGGCTGGGAGGACAAAGAGAAATGGTATATGTAACAGTTGGTATAGTGTCTGGGACACAGTAAATATTTCAATATTGCTACCACCCACACAGCTGCCTGCTTGCCTGGAACCAGCGGTGCTCACCAAGAAGTCACAGGTGTGGCCGGCCACTTCCTGCAAAAAGTCTGAACTCTACTCCTCTGCATGCCTCTGTCTCCCAAGCCCTTTACTAAAAAGTCTGTTGTTACAGGAAATCACTTTGGTCATTTCCCTCTCCTCCCTATGATGTCATGGGCTTCAGAAAAAGAGGATCTGCATCTGAAAATCAGAATAAAATAAAAAATGTGCTGTGGGTTGCCTTTGGCCGGGTGCGTGGAGTCCTGCTCCGGCTGGATAGAGTGTGTTTGAGCAGGGGCTCCAGAGAAATCTGGTGTTTGGGGGTGTGACGGCAGATGGATATCAGTAAGTTTCTGAGCTTTGGGGAGGTACCAAACGGCAATGGAATGAAGTCTTGCTCAACCCTGACTTTCCCACCGGAAAACTTGGGCCTGGTCCATCAGGGCTTTGAGGGTGGGCCTGGTCCATCAGGGCTTTGAGGGCGGGATCTTCCTCCCTCCCTCCCGCCCTGAGAAACAGGAAATACCCTTATAGCTGCGGTCTGCTGAACTGTGAGGCGTGTTGTGGAGAAAGCTTCAATTGTTTTAACGTTTCGTTTTCAGGCTGCATGCAGAGAAGCTGCCCTTGGTCACTGTGGCTGTCGTGCCAGGCCTTTTCTCCCTGTCATCTTCCAGGAGCAACTGTATCCAGGAGGCAGAAGACCAGGAACAGCCCAGCTGGAGTACTAAGCCTCGTCCGCCCAGGGACCCAGAGGTGAGCAGTCACCTTTTGAGCTCCGAAAGTGCTGGTTTCCCATTTTGCTGACTAAGATCCACCCTGGGGTGGATTCGAAGAACAGGAGAGCTCAGATCTGAATCCCTGTGTGGGTAGGGCTGCAGAGGACACCTTCAGGTCTAGGTCTGGGTCTGGAGCCATTGCTGCCTTCTTTTGTGACCATGCCTATGGTCTCACAGGGGTTTGAGGGACTGTGCATGGGCAGAACTGCTCTGTTTTCAACAAACTGCTCCTGGACAGGAGCTTTGGGGTGGCATGTGCCTAGGCTGTCCCTTAGAGGCATCTGTGAGAGCAGCCACTGGGAATAGCTGGGCTCCAGAAAAAGGTAGAGCCGAGGGGAAGATGTCCAACTGGAGCCTCAGTCCTGGAAGAGCAGGAAAGCAAGGAGAGCGTGGCCATGGATTTCTTCATTCTCACAGATGCCCCACTCCAGCCTGCATCCGTCCATTCCACGGCCCCGGGGTCGTGGGGCCCAGAAGGCAGCCTTGTTCCTGCTAGTTGCCTGCCTCGTGGCCCTTTGGGGGCTGGGAGAGCAGCCTGACCACATTCTCCAAAACCTGGTGCTCCACCTGGCCTCTCTGCAGCTGGGACTGCTGTTGAAGGGGGCGTGCAGTCTGGCCGAGGAGCTGTGCCACATCCACTCCAGGTGACTCCCTGCAATTCCCGCGGCAGTCAGACACCCACGTGTGTCACTCCCTTGACTCCTAGCCCCACCCCTTGCGAACATCTCTGGCTGAGCTGGGCTGGGGTCTGGGATGTGTTTGTCACCTCCAGGTACCAAGGCAGCTGCTGGAGAGCCGTGCGGGCCAGCCTGGGCTGTCCCATCCGCGGCGGCGCCCTGCTGCTCCTGTCCTCCTATTTCTACTGCTCCCTCCCAAACGAGGTTGGCCTGCCCGTCACCTGGCTGCTGGCCCTGCTGGGCCTCTCACAGGCGCTAAGCATCCTCCTAAGCCTCCAGGTAGGACACAGAGCAGGCCGGAGGATCTGGCCAACTGGAAGCTGTGTCTAATGTCACCTGCTCTGAACTCAGTACTAGGAGGAGGACTAGTTTAAAGGTTGGAGTCCTTGAGGTGGAGCCTGTTGGGTCCCAGAACAGTGGGTTCAGTGATGGCAAAGGAGGGAACAAGTCGGAACAGGCTGGAAAAACTTCATAGAGGAGGAGGGCTCTTGGTGTCCTCTGTGGATGCCTCTCAGCCCCACCCTGCTGTCCGTAGGACCTGACCCCAGCTGAGGTCTCTGCAGTCTGTGAACAAAGGAACTTCAATGTGGCCCACGGCTTGGCATGGTCCTATTACATTGGGTACCTGCGGCTGATCCTGCCGGGTGAGTCATCCTCTCCATCCCACTTCTAGGCCTACTAGGCAGATGATGAGACACATAGCCTCCGTGTTTCCAGAGCTCATTGTACTTTTCAAAGCACTTCGTGGCTACCAAATCATTTATCCCCAAAGCATCCCTGTAGGCATGAAGAATGTTTTTTGCTTGTTTGATTTTCACCATAAGGCATGTTACTCACTGGAGAGAGACAGTAAAAGAAATAGTGAGGGGACTGGCAGGTGGCATGGTGGTTAAGAGCGCTAGACTCCACGTGGCTGACCAGAGTTTGAGTCCTGGACCTGGTGGCTTGCTCTCTCACTTGCCCTTGCTCTCTATCTCTCACTCTGTCCCTTGCTGGTCAAATTAAAATAAACAAATAAATCATTAAATAATGTTAAATTAAATAATTTTATTTTTAAAGAATAATTTTTTTTGGAGAGGTTTTCATGCTATAGGGTGCATGCACTCACCAGAAAGATAGAGAGAGACAGAGAGACAGAAAGTGAGAAATCACCTCCGAGGGAGGATGGCCATGTCACAATCCCTTCTCTTCCATTCTCCTTTTGGGATCTTGGGCATGCATACACATGTGCCTGGCGTGAGTTTAAGCTCCAGGTCTGGGACTTGAACCGTGGTCGACTACATGGGAGTCCAGCGACATAACCATTATGTGTACTGCTGGTCTCAAGAATAATTTTTAAAATTTAACTTTATTTATTTATTTTAATTTTGACCAGAGATGGACAGAGAGAGAGAGAAAGTGAGAAAGCAAGCTGCAGGTTTGGGACTCGAACTGGGGTTGGCCATGTTGGAGTCCAACACCCTTAACCACCAAGCCACCTGTTGGCCCCTAAAATAATTCTTAAAAAAAAAGGTATAGTGAGAAATCACCCCCCAGGAAGGATGGCCACACTTCTGTCCTTTCTCCTCCAGTCTCCTTTTGGGATTTTGGGCACGCATACACATGTACCTGGTGTAAACCTCAAGTAGCCAGATCTGGGACTCAAACTATTGTCAACCATGTATGAGTCCAGTGCCTTAACCACCATGCCACCTGCTGGTCTCAAAGGATGTTATATGCTCAGTTTCTGGTAAAGAATATGGAGCTTAGAGGGGATCAGCAGGAGGTGTGACCGACCATGGTTCAAGTCCTGGACCTGGTGGTTTGCTTTCTAACTGCCTCCCACCCCTTGTATCTCTTTCTGGTCAAATTAAAATAAATAACTGAATAAATAAATAAAATTAAATAAATAATACTTTAAAAAATAAATTTTTAAAAAATTTTTCACAGATAACCTTGGGCAAGTTACTTAATGATTCTAAGCCCCATATTCTTTTTCTTTAAAAGAATTATTTATTGAATTTTATTTATTTATTATTATTATTTTTAAAAATTTGCTATAGGGCATGTGCTTACCAGAGAGAGAGAAAGAGAAAGCTAGCCACCGAGTCCAGGACTCGAAACATGGTGGGTTATATGGGAGTCCAGTGTCTTAACCACCATGCCACCTGCTGGTCCCCATCTGTGAAATATTTTTTAAGAATTATTTTTTAAATATTATTTATTATTATTATTTTTAAAAATTTGCTATAGGGCATGTGCTTACCAGAGAGAGAGAAAGAGAAAGCTAGCCACCGAGTCCAGGACTCGAAACATGGTGGGTTATATGGGAGTCCAGTGTCTTAACCACCATGCCACCTGCTGGTCCCCATCTGTGAAATATTTTTTAAGAATTATTTTTTAAATATTATTTATTATTATTATTTTTAAAAATTTGCTATAGGGCATGTGCTTACCAGAGAGAGAGAAAGAGAAAGCTAGCCACCGAGTCCAGGACTCGAAACATGGTGGGTTATATGGGAGTCCAGTGTCTTAACCACCATGCCACCTGCTGGTCCCCATCTGTGAAATATTTAAATAAGTAGTTACTGCAGAACTGACCCTGTGACTCAGTAGTTAAGGGATCCAGTCCCATGGCTAACTGTGCACTTCCAGTCCTGGACCTCACAATTTGAAAGACATATTGGGTATATGTCCGTGTGTGTCTCAAATCCTGACAGGATGGAGAAATGGAGAAGGGATTGCAGTGTGATCATACTCCATTGGGGAGAGTCTTTCTCCTTCTCCCCTTCTCTCTGTCTCTGTTTCTCTCTGGTGAGTGCATATATCCTTTGACAAGCTTTTTTATTTTATTTTATTTTTTTTTGGTTCCATGATTGGGAAACGAACCCAGGCTGTGGTGATGAGAGTGCTGAGTCCTAACCACTAGACCACTAGAAATTTTTTTTTTCTTTAGGTTTTGCCATAGGGTGTGTGTGTTCACAAGAAAGAGACATAGAGAGGGAATGTGAAAAATTAACCCCTGGGGGATGGCCACACCACAGTCCCTTCTCCTCCTAGGATTTTGGGCACACATGTGCATGTACCCGGTGTGATTTTCTTTTATTTATTTATTTATTTTAGTGAGATTTTTGCTTTAGGGTGCATGCACTCACCAGACAGACAAGGAAAAACAGAGAGACAGAAAGCGAGAAATCACCCCCCAGGGAGGATGCCCACACCACAATCCCTTCTCCATTCTTTTCTCGGAATTTTGAGCACACATCCACATGAGCCTGGTGTGAGTTTTAAGCTGCCAGGTCCAGGACTCAAACTGCAGTTGACTACATGGGAGTCCAGTGATATAACCATTACACTATTTCCTGATGTGATTTTCAAGCTGCCAGGTCTGTGACTCGAACCATGGTTGGCTATGTGGGACTCCAGAGCTTTAATCACCATGCCACCTGCCTGCCCTGCCTAATTAAAAAAAAAAATGCTATGTGTTCTTCATGTGAATTTTATTTTTTAAGAATTATTTTATTTAACTTTTTACACTTTATTTTATTTTTATTGTAATTTGACCAGAGAGGGACAGAGTAAAAGAAAGAAGGAAAGCGAGAAAGCAAACCACCAGGTCTGGGACACAAATGGCGGTCAGCCATGTGGGAGTCCAGCGCCCCTAACCACCATGCCACCTGCCGTGAATTTTCTCTTTTAATTCGCATCCCGTGAGGAAACAATAATCATCTTTCCTATTTTAGAGATTTTTTTAAAAGCACAGTTCTGAAAGGTTAGGCGACTTGTTCAATGTCAGGTGGCTTAGTGAGAGGAGCTAGGCTTTGATCCCAGGGCTGTCTATAGGCTGGGCCTTTGCCCACTCTGCTGTGGAGTCCATGTGTCTCTTTCCTCCGGCTTACAGGCTGGCTGTGACTTCCCTATTTCATTGCTGTCTCCACTTGACATTGGGACATCTGCTAAGAAATGATTCTGGAACTAGAGGCCCGGCTCTGTGCACCTGGGAATGCTGGGAACATCACCTTCTAGGCCTCTGCTTGTCTGTCACAGCTCTGAAAGCTGTGTGGGAATGAGTAGAGCTGATAGAGAGATCTGGGCAAAAGAGAAGTCGGGAGAGGGGGGAAGGGTGATGAGAATAGAAGGAGGCGTGTTATGGGTTCCTGGATGCTCTGTCCCTCCTGATCTCCACAGCGAGACTGGCCTGGACCTTAGACTCTCTTGCACTCACACGCTGAGAGAGAGACAATGACCTGGGTCTCAGTCCTGGATTGGCTGGGTGGGAGGGTTAGTGGGAATGACTTCCTGGACTTCTCCACCCCAGGGCTCCAGGCCCGGATCCAAACCTACAATCAGCTCCACAACAACGCTCTACGAGGTGCAGGAAGCCGGCGGCTGTACATTCTCTTCCCATTGGACTGTGGGGTGCCTGATGATCTGAGTGTAGCCGACCCCAACATTCGCTTCCTGCATATGCTGCCCCAGCAGAGCGCTGACCGTGCCGGCATCAAGGGTCGGGTCTACACCAACAGCGTCTACGAGCTTCTGGAGAATGGCCAGCCAGTGAGTGTTCCTGAGGGTTCCTGGGAGAGGTCTGCCCTGCCAGAACCCTGGGCCCTGGCCAAGCACTGATAAGCATTTGCTGCCCTTCTCTGAGCCTCCATTCTCCCGTTGGTCCTAGGGCTGGGCAAGACCCAGCTCTGAGGGGTAAGTAATGTTTATAGAGCACTGACTGCATGCCAGACATCGGTGCTTCATCTGAACAACTCACTAAATCCTTACCTCCACTTTGTAATGTAAGGAATGTGTGATCCTTACTTATGGAGGAGAAAACTGAGGCTCAGAGACACAGCAAGAAAGCAGCCAATTTCAACTTGAATATACTGTGCTCTTACTGTAAAGCTGCCTTCGATGAAGGCTGTGAGAACATCTGAAGGATTTTATGTGGGTGCAAGGGAATCCAGACCAGAGTTAAACCCCAGAACTCAACCTCCAGATTCAGTTTCCAGCCAGAGCAGAAGACAGCCCAGCTCTGAGGGCCTTGCTGTGGGATCTTAGGAAGAGGATCTGTGAAGGGTAAATTTAGCCTGGCCCTGGATTTAGGGATGGGACGTCAGAGCGAAGGCAGACCAGGCAGAGTAGAGTCCATAGAGGTGGCCTCCTCCAAGATCCCATCTCTGCAGACTGGGCCAGTGAGGCCCCTGACCATGGCACTAACTAAGATCTGGAGTCTGTCTGCCTGGGTTTTGGCTTAGTCTGGTCTTCTTACCTTCTCTAGGCGGGCGCCTGTGTCCTGGAGTATGCCACCCCCTTGCAGACCCTGTTTGCCATGTCACAAGATGGCCGAGCTGGCTTTAGCCGTGAGGATCGACTTGAGCAGGCCAAACTCTTCTGCCGGATACTAGAGGATATCCTGGCAGATACCCCCCAGGCACAGGACAACTGCCGCCTCATCGTCTACCAGGGTGAGGGGTTGATAGGCTGGAGGGCGGGAGGAGTCAGAGGGCAATGAGATATGGCAGCACCATGTCATGGCCTTCCCAAGTGGTCAGTGCATTTAACACTGCCCCTTCCTCCCCTGGGAAAGGCCCACCCCCACCATGGAACACTTGATTGCTTTCCAAGGTCTTCGGCTGTAGGCTCTGGGTGGTGTGGGTTCCAAGAGCCTCTCACTTCCCCTGAGGATGGCAGAGGAAGCAGAAGAAAACTAGGTCAATGTGTGTGGAATGCTGGGACTGGGGTTGCAGTCTCAGCCTTGCCACTCCCTCCTGTATGACCTTGGGCAAATCTCTGCTCCTCTCTGAGCATCATCTCCAAGAGGGTGGAATCCATGGTCTCTGAAACCACTACTAGCTCTAGGAGTCCATGAAACTCTAGCCCTAGAGGGGAATGGGGGATGGGAGGAAGGTAGAGAGAACCAGAGGATCTTTCTAGCAAGTCCTCTGGGTATGTCTGAGTGGGAATGTGTAAGATCCTCATCCCCCCGTCACCTCCCATTCTAGAACCTGCTGAGGGAAGCAGCTTCTCGCTGTCACAGGAAGTTCTCCGGCACATACGGCAGGAGGAAAAGGAAGAGGTTACTGTGTACAGTTCGGAGACTTCAGTGGTGCCTGGTGCCTCCACACTGTCTCAAGAACCCGAGCTCCTCATCAGTGGCATGGAGATGCCTCTTCCACTCCGCACGGATGTCTTCTGAGACCCAGGGTCACCTTGCCTGAGCCTGCAGCAAACCCCAAGACTCTGGGTTGAGGATTTTCTTCAATGGCTAAATGTCCAGCAGAGCCATTTCTTCTGACAGGGGCCTTGCAGAGAAAGGCTGCTGTGGTTTGAACATGTCCCCCAAAGCTTGTGTGTTGTAGTTACTCTTCTATGAAACAGTATTTAAGGGTAGGACCTTCAAGGGATGGTTGGGGGCCAGTGCCATGGCCTAGTGGTTAAGGGAGTCAGATTCCATATGGCCAACTGTATGGTTCAAAGCCCAGCCCTGGTGGCTTGAAGAACATGCCAGGAGTTTGTGCATGGGTACCCCAAATCCCAACAGCATGGAGAAACAGAGGATAAGGGATTGTGCCATGAATGCACCCTTTAATGGATCTCTTTGAATCTCTCTTTAATTTAGGCTGGACATGCAACCTCTGGCCAATTTTTTTTTTTTTTTTTTTTTTTGTGGGAGTGGGTTTGTTACAGCAAGAATGGGGTCTTTTTAAAGGAAAAGTTTGGGGTCCTCTCTCACTCTCTCTCATCATGTGATTCCTTCTTCATGTTATGGTGCAGCAAGAAGGCCCTCGTGAGATGTGGCCTCTTTATCTTGGACTTTCCAATCTCCAGAACTGTGAGCCAAATAAATCTCTGTTCATTATAAATATAAATTACCTAGTCGTTGCATGGTGTTAGAGCAGCACAACATAGACTAAGGCCAGTGCCCTGGACTTGACATTTTGAGCAAGTCGTTTAGTTTATGTTAGCCTCAGCGTCCTCATCTATGAAATGGAATTACATTATTGCCTTGCTTTCCGTACAAGGACATTGTCAAGACTGTGAGTGTGTGGAAGCTTTTCTAAATTCTAAATAGCAGGTAAACTTAAGGTATGTGCAGGGTATCTTTTTTTTTTTTTTTTAAGAGGTTTTTGCTATAGGGCGCGTGCGCTTGCCAGACAGAGAGAGACAGAGAGACAGAAAGTGAGAAATCACCCCCCAGAGGGGATGGCCACGCCGCGATCCCTTCTCCTGCATTCTTCTCTCGGGATCTTGGGCACGCACGCACACGCGCTAGGCCTGAATTTTAAGCCAACCGGTCCGGGACGCGAACTGCGGTCGACTACATGGGAGTCCAGCGACATAGCCATTACGCTAACTGCTGGTCCCATGTGCTGGGTATCTTTCACTAGACCTTTTAGATCTGCTTTCCACACTTCTCTGCCTCCTCTGCACTGAGATACTGACCTGTCTAGAGGGCATCAACAGCCTCCTTTGCCCTCTGATTTCTGGTCATGGTTAGTGAATGAGTAGTCCCAGAGAAGAATGAAGAGAAGGAGGAGAGGTGAGGTTGGGGTATTTATTCCCCTGACTCTCTCCCTGCAGTGTCAAGGTCACTGTGGGATCTCCCAACAGGCAGTCCTCTCTAACCGTTTCTCTCTCTAGGCTTCTAGAAGTGCTGCCTCCCTGGTCCCTTCAAGCCTAGTGGTAGTGCTGGCTCCCCAGTGGAGTACTCACTCTCTGTGGTTTCCTTATACTCTGCCCTTTCTCAATAGCCCCTTTTAAAAATACTCCCCTGATTACCCAATTTGATTGTGTCACCTTTTTGCTGCAGGACTCAGACTGATCATTTGTTATACCCGATGGCCAAATCTGCTTGTCCCCTCATCCCCCCATCCCAGTAAGGGGCAGTGAGGTGGTGGGTGTCATTTCTATCCAGGCAGAGCCCACCAGTCAGGCTTGAGGGCATCGGGCTGGACAGAACCCCACACCTCCCTGCCCTTTCATTGCCCTGTCTCTAATGGGAGGCTTGGGGAGTAAGGGCCAGAGACTGGCCTGAGCTGGCACATAGATGCCATGAGTAGAGCACAGCTGTCCTGGGGAAGGAGCCACACGAAGGAGCAGGGACTACTGAATAAGTATCCCTGGATGAGCAAGCCTACAAAGGAATAGGGAGAAGAGCACTTGTAAGAGGAGATCAGCTAGGAGGCCTATGACCAGCCACCATGCCACCCGGATGCCATCACCATTAGAGCTGAGTCACTGCAACGACACGGTGATGACACCATTGCCCCACTCTGGGGAAAAGGCAGCCCATTTCCGCCAGTTTCATCTGCCCCACCAGGCTGGACTTGTTCCTATGTTCCCATTGTTTTTAATCATAAATGCTCCCTGCATTTCTGTATACAGACCACTGTGAAGAACTGTAGATCTACACACATTTGCAAGAAGGAAGTGGCTGTCCTTAAGTGTGACAGAACTAAGGGAGTCAAAGGAGAACATGTCCCCTCTCTCCCTAGCTGTCTCAGTCATTCTGTCCCCAAGATCTGAGGACCCTCCCACATTACACCAGTGATTCCTACACTAGAAATCTGACCAGTATCAATGGCCTCCCCAACTTGACCTTCCCCAGCATGGTGTTCAGGGTATGGAGTTTGATAGCCCCAGGTTCAAATCCAAGCCCCACCACTCAGTATCTGTGTCTATCTGAGTGTCTTTGTAAGCAGGTTTCCTCAAGTGTAAGTTGGGGATTTTTTTTTTTTTTGGAAAGATTTTTTTTTTATTTGCTATAGGTGTGTGTGCTTGCAAGAAAGACAAAGAAAGATAGAGAGACAGAAAGTGAGAAACCACCCCTCAGGGGAGATGGCCACAACGCAATCCTTTCTCCTCAATTCTCCTCTTGGGATCTTGGGCATGCACGCACATGTGCCCGGCGTGAGTTTAAGCCACCAAGTCTGGGACTTGAACTGCGGTCGACTACATGGGAGTCCAACAACATAGCCATTACACCAACTGCTGGTGCCTGGGGATAATGTATCCACCATTTAGCCCCCACTCATACCATACCCCATCCCCTCCCCAAAGGTATCTTTCCACTCACCATAGAGCCCATGGTTTTATTCGACCCCAGCCCCTCCCTAGCAATGTCTTTTTTCTTTTATGATGTATGTCAATAATTAAGATAAGGCTTCCATGGGGCTAGCAGGTGGTGCTGGACTCCCACATGATCGACCATAGTTTGAGTCCCGGACCTGGTTGGCTTGAAAATCATGCTGGGTTCTTGTGCATGCGTGCCCAAAATCCCAAGAGGAGAATGGAAGAGAAGGGACTGTGGTGGGCCATGCCCCCAGAGGGTGATTTCTCACTTTCCCTCTCACTGTCTCTCTCTGACAAATGCATGTACCCTATGACAACAACAACAACAACAAAAAGATAAAGCCTCCACAAAAGAACCCAGCCAGAACCAGTCAGAACCAAGGTGGCACCTGAACCTACTGTGTCTAAACTTCAAGTTCATGATTTCCTTTTTGTGCTTTATTAGCATGCTGAGTGGTGCACTTGCTGTAAGTGCCATGAGAGTTGGCAATCTCTATGGTTATGACCAGAAATAACCTCATAGAGAGAGGAGGTAGATGGGCTTTAGAATTCTGGAAAGTCCCAACCTTTTCCAGGAAAAGCTCTGAATATTTCTTCCTTTTATTATCCTATCTTGTTCACTCATTACTCCATTTGCTATATCTCAAAATTCCCAGCTCAAGACCCGTGGAAAGTAGATGTGAGAGCTGGGCTTCACTTCTCCATTCTTTGGCCATTGAATAAAACACGTGCTGTAGGGGCCAGCCGGTGGTGGGGTAGTAAGGCAGCTGGATTCCCACATGACTGACCATAGTTTGAGTCCAGATCTAGAGACTTGGAAATCATGCTGGGTGTATGGGTATGTGTGCCCAAAACCCTGAGAAGAGAATGGAGGAGAAAGAATTGGGGAATGACCATCCCTCCTTGGGGGTGATTTCTTACTCTCCCTCTTTCTCTTTCCAGTGAATGTATGCGCCCTATGGCAAAAATCTAAAAAAAAATAATAATAAATTTGTGCTATAGACGTTCCATTTTGGTCTCATATGTTGTATCTAAGAGTATGAATGGCAAAATGTCTCATTTGGGGGAATAAATGAAAAATTGGTGGGGCCAGTAGGTGGTGTAGTGGTTAGAGCACTGGACTCCCACATGGTCGACTGTGGTTTGAGTCTAAGACCTGGTGACTTGAAAATCACGCAGGGGTGCATGTGTGTGTATATGCCCAAAATCCCAGGAGGAAAATGGAGAAGGAACTGTGGGTGTGGTCATCCCCCCGGGGGGTGATTTCTCAATTTTCTTCTCAATGTCTCTCTCTGTTTCTCTGTTCTCTGGTGAGGGGACATGCTCTGTGGTAAAACCTTGGTGGTTAAAGGCTCTGGACACCCACATGGCCACCCACAGTTCAAGTCCGAGACCTGGTGGCTTGCTTTCTCACTTTCCTTCTCTCTCTCTCTCACTCTGCCCCTCTCTAGTCAAATTAAAATAAATAAAGTTAAGTAAAATAATTCTAAAAAAAAATTGATACCTATAACAGTGGCCCCTCATCCAAGGTATTGTGAGCAATACAGTATTTGTAGGTCCACAGATAAGCCAAGCTCCAGTACATAGCTGATCCCCAAGAAGGAGCAGCTATTAAAAACATAGCTGCCCCTGGGAACCAGCAGTTAGCATAATGACTATGTTGCTGGACTCCCACGTAGTCGACCACGGTTCGCGTCCCGGACCCAGTGACTTAAAACTCACGCCGGGCGCGTGTGCGTGCGTGCCCAAGATCCCGAGAGGAGAATGGAGGAGAAGGGATTGTGGCGTGACCATCCCCCCTGGGGGGTGATTTCTCGCTTTCTGTCTCTATGTCTCTGTCTGTCTGGCGAGCGCACGTGCCCTATAGCGAAAAAACCTCTCCAAAAAAATAAACACACACACACAAAAAAAACATAGCTGCCCCTCACCAGTCCTCAAGGAGGAGAGTCTAGCCGTGCACACGCTGCAGTCGCCACTTCTGTCCCTCTCCATCTCTATTTCCCTGCTCCCTGACACTGGTTTCTCACTGAAGCCAGGCCCCAAGGGTGACTCGTCCCCATGGTAAAGCACCAGAGGTCCCTCCATAAATGTCTGTCTGCATGTTCTTGACTGCACATGAGTGAGATTCAGAGACTCTGAGGAAACGAGTGCTTTTTCAGAGAACCACCAGAAGGCCCAGCTTCGCCTTCCCGGCCATGCTGACTACCCCATGCCCCACCCCTGAGGGGAGGGGTCCCTGTCCTTGTCCTTCCTTCCCCAAACAAGTACAACTGTGCTTCTTTTCCTTTCCTGTTTTCCTCTAGCTGGAAAGTTCTGGACCTGGGAAATGTCCTGTGGTAAATACTAGGCTTGTGTCAACAGAAAGTGGGCGGTAATGAGAAACCCCCAAGCTCCCCCACCATATCCTGGGAAGGCAAGACAGAGTCAGCGGGGGCCAGTCAAAGCCAATCTTTGAACTATGGATGGTGATTGGGGCATTACAGTTTTTCAGCAAAGCCTGGGCCCTGACAGACAAAAGGCTGCCTGTCAGTGGGTGAAGGCCAACAGATATTTCTTCCTTCCCTGAGTCCCAGTGAGTCTTCGAGAAGGCAGGCCTCTGGATTTTTCGTCTTGGTTCTTGGTTGGCCTTCAGAGGATCTGGGGGGCTGTGAAGACAGGACCGCTCCGTGGAGGCCTCTGACATTTCGGCCTGGAAGTGGAGTAGGCAGTGGTATCTTCCAAGCTGAATTCATTTTTCACCAGAAGAAAAGATTAGGGGGATAAGGAGGGGCCAGGGACTCAGACGGAGCCCCAGGGGCCTGGGGGTCCCTGCAGAAGACAGGGTAGCTGCGTGAGGGTGGCCTCGCACGCTGGGAATGACCATGGCAGTATGTTTCTGGGCAGGGCTTGCAAGCTTCTTTTGTTTCTCCTATCCACAGTGGGACTTTCTCTATAAATACTCTGAGAGGGCAGCTCCTGCTGAGTCCAGTGTGCCCTTCCGAAGCTCTGATGCCCAGGCTCCGAATCGCTTTTGTCCTAATTCTCGGTCCAGTTTCTTGCTCTGAGTGGGGTCAGGCTGGCTCAAAGTCTCCTCCTACAGATATGTGACTTCGTCGACGCTGGATCTGGGCCCATCTGGTTCCTGCTGGGCTTCTTCGTGACTGTCCTGGGAGCCCCTTCCCCGCCAGTGGATGAGGTAAATGCCACCCTCTGGCTTTGGGGCTGGTGGCTCAGTGAGGAGACAGGCATGGCCCTGGTGCAGCCTCGGCCCAAAGTGAACTGCCACCACGATACAGACTGCCAGCAGGACAAAGGCAGCGACAATGACGGTGAGCAGGGGCAGCCCATCCCCTCGAGGTGCTTCCCAGACCCCGTCCAGCACTTCCGGAGGCTGCCGCTGAGGCTTCTGCTCTGATGAACCATTCACAGCTGGAGAAGACCAGGCCTTGGAGGGGAGAGGCGGAGAGAGGGGGTGATATAGGCATGTACACACAGACAAAGACAAAAATAGACAGAGATAGATAGCCGAGGGAAACCAAGAGAGCAACAGGGAGCCTCGGGGAGAGACGGAGAGGAGAAGAGATAAAAATGGAGAGAGATGAAGAGACAGAGGAAACAGAGGGAGAGAGAGACAGAGCAACACAGGTAGACACAAACATAGCAACAGAGAACAAAAGAAAAAGACAGGGGGAGGGGACCAGCAGGTGGCGTGGTGATTAAGGCACTGGACACTCCCACATGTCTGACCATGGTTCAAGTCCTAGACCTGGTGGCTTGCTTTCTCACTTTCCCTTTCTTGCTCTCTGTGTCTCTCTCTGGTCAAATGAAAAGTAAATGAATGATTAAAAAAAAAAAAAAAAGACAGGGGGAGGGACCAGCAGATGGCATGGTGGTTGGGGCACTGGACTGCCACATGGTTGAGTCCACGCCACATGGTTGATTGTGGTTTGAGTCTCAGACCTGGTGGCTTATTTTCTCACTTTCCCTTTCTCTCTCTCTCTGATGACTATAGCAAGTGAAAAAAATAATGGGGCTGGCAGATGGCGTGGTGGCTAAGGTGCTGGATTCCCACATGGCCGACTATGGTTCTGGTTCGAGTCCTGGACCTGGCAGCTTGCTTTCTCCCTCTGTCCTTCTCTGGTCAAATTAAAACAAATTAATAATAAAGTTAAATAAAATAATTTAAAAAATCATTTAAAATAATAATAATAAATAAAATAAATAATTCTTTTTTTAAAAAAGATGGGGATACAGAGAGAGAGAAAGATAGAAACAGGAAAAGAGAAATAAAAGATAGAAATAGAGACAGAGTCAGAGAAGAAAGGAACAGAAACAGGAAGACAAAGTTGTTCAGAAAGGACAAAGAGGGGTTTCATTACAGCCTGGCATATGGGGTTTGATCCCCCAATCTCCTCCCCCTGCCCTCTCTTCCCAGATCTCCAGCAAAATTCCCAACTAGACCCTGTGTCCTAGACCAGGAATCTTAGCATGCTCCTAGCTGCTGTCCCTTTCTGAGAGAAAGGGGGTCCAGCACTTTAGACTATCTTTATCCATCATGAGGAAGGCAGAAAAGAGGTACCTTGGTGTGGGTGGGAGTGGGGACATGAAGTCCAGAAGTCTGGGGAGAGATAGGGTGATGCCTCATCCTATGACTATGCCTCTCCCCAGGGTCAGGTGGAGGGGGCCTTCGGGGAGCACCCCGCATGATTCCTTCCTCTGCCTGGGACAGACTGAGGACATTCTGTGCTGGTCTACCTTGGTGTCTCTGGATTGTTCTATCAAAAGCTGGAGCAGGGCTAGTATGGGGCATGGTGGTTAAGGTGGGTGGACTCCCAAGTGGCTGACCACGGTTTGAGTCCCACACTTGGCAGCTTGCTTTCTCACATCCTCTCTCTCTCTCTGGCCTAATTAAAATAATAATAATAATTAAAGATGGCTGGATTCTACATGAATGACTTTTTTTCTTTTTGAGAGAGAGATTTTCACTGTAGGGCGCGTGCACTCGCCAGACAGAGAGAGACATAGAGACAGAAAGAGAGAAATCACCCCCCAGGGGGGATGGTCACGCCGCCCTCCCTTCTCCTCCATTCTCCTCTCGGGATCTTGGGCACGCACGCACACGCACCCGGCGTGAGTTTTAAGCCCCCGGGTCCGGGACACGAACCGCGGTCGACTACGTGGGAGTCCAGCGACATACCCATTACGCTAACTGCTGGTTCTCTACATGAATGACTTTTCAGACCCAATGGCTTGAAAATCATGCTGAGCACATGTACGTGTGTGCTCAGAACCTGACAGCAGAGTGGAGAAGAAGGGATTGTGGCATGGCCATCCCCCTGAGGGATAACTTCTCACTCTTCCACTCTTTCTTTCTCTATCCATCTCTTTCCGGTGAGTATACACGCCCTATAGCAAAACTAAAAATAAACAAGGGCTCATGATTCCTACTTCTTTTTCTTCCCTGCTAGGTGTCAGGTGGGAGTGCAGGGATCTCCATGAAGGCAGAAAACCTCAAACTGTAAACCCCAGAGCTGGTGAGATGCCAGACACCTGGCTAGCACCACCACCCCAGCATCACCAGACTTGAGAAACGGTTTCTCCCTAGCTTCCCTTCCCCCAGCTGGACCTCTCTGGGGCAGACCCTGTGGAGCGGAGCCCCTGTTGTAACTCTGAGCCCCAGCCCCATGGGTAGATGATTGGAGTCCAGGGAAAGCTGCCCAGGACAAACCCATTTCCTCTAGTCCCTCAGTCACACTGTCCACCCCACCCCATCGCCCACACATATCCTTTGCTGTGGAAAGCCCAGGCTTCCCCCACCCCCACCTCCACCCTTTGCAAGGCTCTCAAGAGCTCAAGGCACAGAGCTCCCGGGGCGGGGGCTGGGAAGCAGCTCCGGATGTACAGGGGCAAAAGGGAAACTCAGGCTAGTGAAGGGCATGGGGCCCCCGAAGAGAGTCAGGCCAGCCTGGCAGGAAAGGGTAAGTGAAAGGTCTACCTGGTGCATTGTCCGGGACAGGTGCAAGACTCCTTTGGGACTGGTGGCCTGCCAGGAAAAGGAGAGCTAGCTGCCCCAGTCCAGCCCCTACCCGGAGCTGCCACGTCTGTGGGGCTCACAGGCACACACCCTCAGCACACACCCTCACAGCTCTCTCCTGTGCTTGCACTTCCGGGAACATCTGGACTATTCTGGGCCCAGCCTTAACTCTGAGAATACCTCAGCCATCCCCTTTGGCACCTCTTCCATGCCCCCTGCCAGCTTCAGGACCTGAGTGCCTGCCCACCCCTCTTACACCAGGTCCCAGGCACCTGGCTAACACCACCACCCACCGTGCCTGCCTCAGGACATCAGGACGTGATTCTCCACCCCAACTGATTTCCTGTTGCCACTGTGCTTTGATTTTTTTTTTTTTTTTTTTTTTTTTTTAGAGAGACAGTTATGCTGTAAGGCAAAATAAATTTAATAGTTATAGCATGTACATTCCCCTCTCTGGAGAGAGACAGAGGGAAAGTGAGAAATCATAAATGCACACATGCCTGGCACAGGGTCTGGGACTGGAAACATGCAGTCAGCCCTGTGGGAGCCAGCTACCTTAACCTCCATGCCGCCTGCTGGCCCTACAGTTTCTTTTCTTTCTTTCTTTCTTTTTTTTTTTTTTGAAGTTTTTTGTTTTTGTTTTTGTTTTTTATGCCTTATGCATGTGCTCATCAAAGAGAGAGAGAAAGAGAGAGAGAGAGAGGGACAGACAGACACAGTGAGAGGGAAAGTGGGAAATCACCCCCTGGGGGGATGACCATGACTAAATGCCTGCAATCCTTTCTCCTCCATCCTCTTCCTGGGATCTTGGACACACATGCACACGTACCTGGCATGATTTTCACCACAGGGTAGGTGCCCCCCCATAAGTGATTTACAAGCTACCAGGTCCAAGACTCAAACCGCAGTTGCCCATATGGGAGTCCAGGAACGTAACCTCTACGTCATCTGCTGGTCCCCATAGTTTCTTTTTTTTTTTTTTGAGAGGTCTTTGCTATAGGGAGCGTGCGCTCGCCAGACAGACAGAGAGAGACATAGAGACAGAAAGCGAGAAATCACCACCAGGGGGGATGGTCACGCTGCAATCCTTTCTCCTCCATTCTCCTCTTAGGATCTTGGGCAAGCACGCACACGCGCCCAGCGTGAGTTCTAAGCCACCGGGTCTGGGACGCGAACCGCAGTCGACTACGTGGGAGTCCAGCGACATAGCCATTACGCTAACTGCTGGTTCCTGCCATAGTTTCTTTTTAAATGCAATACACACACACACACACACACACACACACACACACATGGATATATATATATATATATGTATGTACATAAATTTGCCCAAGGGTTCACGTGTTTGAAAGACAGAGAGAGGGAGAGGTTAAAAGCACCTTGTAGGGTATTATCCCACTCCATTCCCTTCTCCATTTCTCCATCCCCTTTGGAAGATACATGCACACACACACACACATACACACACACAGAGTGTTTTTATGTTTATTTATTACGTTTCTTTTATGAGAGTGAATACATGGGTATGCATCTGTACGTATGCACGAGACAGAGAGAGAGCGACACCCCTGACAGAGTCTCTTCACAGCATGATCGTTTCCACTCTGTGCTTCAGCCGACTTGGAATCTAAACCTACAGTCAACCATGTGGCTTAGATCAGTGTGCAACCACCTGCACCATCAAGACTACCTTAACCGTTGTGCCCCTGGCTGGATGAAGAAAAAAAATTAATTTTAATTGTTTTAGTTTGCTATAGGGCATACGTGCTTGCTGGAGAGACAGACAGAGAGGGAGAGCAGGAAGAGGGAAAATAAGAAATCACCCTTTGAGGGGATGGCCACACCATAATCCTTTCTCCTCTACTTTCCTTGCAGGATTTTGGATGTGCGCGCACATGCCCAGCATGATTTTCAAGCTGCCAGGTCTAGGGCTCTAACCTCGCAGTTGACCAGTGAGATCCAGCTGCCTCAACCACCACGCCACCTGCTGGCCCCTAAGAGAAAATGTTAATAAAATAAAATAAAAAAGGAGAAAAGGATACCAATCGTGTATATAACTTATTGTAAACGTATATACATATTGTCACAGACTGGCAACAATATAGCCTGAAAGAAAAATCCGTTCACAACATTGATGTAATTAATATTGAGGATATGAAATTATATGTAAAGTTTCTCTGCCCTGAAATCCCTTGAGTTTAGTTCAGTAAGCATGGGCTGAGGACCGGCTATATGACAAGTCCTAGGAACATTAAAAAAAGTAACCTGCTGGCTTCCATGTGCAAGAGCAAGTACTGGGGGACAGGATATATGTGGGATGAATATTAAGGATAGGGTGCTGCTGGAAGACAGGGAACACCTAGGCCCAATGCAGGCAGAGGAGGCGGAGGGAGGATGTTTGGAATGTGGTCCTCCTGTTTTTCTATGAAGAATTAACAGTATTGGGCCTGGCATGGGCACTGCTATGGAAGGCTGGAGTCCCATGGAAGACCCAGGTTCAGATTCCAGGCCTACTGGAACCGTTCCAAGCACCCATGATCCTCGCTGGCTGGCTGGGAGGCAGTGGGCCTGGGGATCATGGTGTAACACCTTGTTGAGGATATTCTCTCTCTCTCTCTCTTTCTCTCTCTCAAAAAAAAAGGGGGGGGGGCGGAGAAAGAAACTTAAAAAAAAAATCAAATAGCAGTAATGTTTGTGAGGCCTCCCTGAAACACACTAGGAGTCCTATCTGCATTGGAGTGCTAAGGAGGTGGAGGAGGAATGTGGAGAATTCAGAGTCCGGAGAGCATGGGCGGCTGGTGGGCTGGTTTCTGGGCTTAGCGAAGGGAAAGGAGAACTGGATCTGAACTAGCACAGAGTGGGAGTGGAGCTAGACTTGGGGAAAACCTTGAGTGGTGTGTGAAGGGACCTGATGGCCCCTCAGAGTGGAAGAGAGGGTAGAGGGGGCCAGGGGGCTGTTACCAGCCGTCGTGCCCAGGTCCAGAGGAGACCAGAGTGGGCCTGGCCACAGTCGCTGCTGCCCCAGCCACATCCTCGTCTGCACTGATGGGCTGAGCAGGGCCCCTGGAGCTGGTCCCAATCTGTTTCCTTCTATTCTTTGACAGGAAGCTCCGGGAGAGCCAGCCCCCGCCCCACCCCGCCCCAGCACTCCCTCTCTCTTCTCCACTATGGACAGAGCCTCCGAGGAGCAGCTGCCTGCCCGCCACGTCCCCAGCTGACATGGGCACCGTGGGAGCCACGCAGCTGTGCTGGGCCATCCTGGGCTTCCTCCTGTTCCAAGGTAAGAGACCACTTTCCTTCGGGAGCTGGTCCCCTGCATCTGGCTGGCCTGGGCACCCGCCGTCCTTCAGGACGCACATGGCCAGCTCTCCATCCCAGGCAGGCCTGAGGGAAACCCCAGAGCCTCTCCATGAAGGGGATTGGTTGGACTGGGGGGTGGTCATCACCAGGCAGGGGTAAAATAGAGAGATCATTATACTCCCTTGTGGGGAGTTTTCCAGGGTGATCTGGGGACCCTTGTAGGGGCTGGCCTCCTGGCATGTGGGAAGCAGTCGTCCGGGTGTGGGACTGAGACTGGAAAGACGGGTGTTCACAGGCCCGAGAAGCCCATGGCTGCCCTGCTGGGCCGGGTGCTCTGGCCTGGGAGCAGCACTGACCACGCTGGCCCTCTTGACTGTTCTAGCACAGCACTGTCTGCACCTTGGGCCTTTTTCTCTTCTCCTGTGAGGAGTAACAACCTGGGAATTCCAGAGCCAGACTCTAAGCTCAAATAACAGCAAGAGGGACTCAGGTTAGACAAAAGAACCATTTACCAAGGAGGACGAACTTAGCATTCTCATGGGGAGGGGGGGGCAGGCAAGATGACCCCCCAGAGGACTACCTGGAAATTGTGCCTGTCTGAGAGGACGAGCAGGGAAGCAGCTAAGAAGGGGTTCCCTAATTAGGAGCAGTTGCTGGGAACCATGAAAAACCTGGGAGATTCTGACTCACGGGGCAGCAACTTCCCTTCTGTTATCCCGTCCCCACCCCCACCTCACCTCGCAAGTCCTCAATGGAAGATTTGTGAGCCTGGGTTCAAAGCCGCAGAGAGGCTAAGGCTTGGATGGGGGTGGCCTCATGTGGTGGGGGCTGAGAGGGCCCAAGTACCAGAGTACTCTGTCTCCTGGAAGGGTCAGACATTTCTCTAAACGCACATGGTCTGGTGGTAAGCCTCTGATGCTCTCCTCACCCACCCACCACAGGATGGCGTTACATAGTTTACCTGGGGCTAAGAGACTAGGCTGCTGTGAAAATTGAAGGTGATTGTCCTGTCCCAAGGCAAGCGCCATGGTTCCCAAATGTCCTGATAAACTCTACCTGAGCCATCATCACCACCCAGGTTTCTTTCTCTCTTTCTTTCTTTTTTTAAAGAATTATTTATTTGAGGGGGGGCAGCAAGTGTCATAGTGGTTAAGGGTGCTGGATTCCCACATGGTTGACTGGGGTTCAAGTCCCAGATCTGGTGGCTTGCTCTCTAACTTCCCTGCCCCCCACGCTGTCCTTCTCTGGTCAAATTAAATAAATAAAGTTAAATAAAATAATTACTTATTTTATTTTATTCTGTTTTTATAAAGAATTATTTTATTTAATTTTATTTATTCACTTATTTGTTTTAACTTGACCAGAGAGAGACACAGAGAGAGAGAAAGGAAATGTGAGAAAGCAAGACATCAGGTCTGGGACTTGAACCGTGGTTGGCCATGTGGGAATATCCATCTTAACCACCACGCCATTTGCTAGTCCCAATAAAATAATTCTTTAAAAAAAAAAAATTATTATTTGAGACCAGCAGGTGGCGTGGTGGTTAAGATGCTGGATTTCCACATGGCTGGCTGTGGTTTGAGTCCTGGACCTAGAGACATGCTTTCTCACCTCCTCTCTCTCTTTCTCTTTGTGTCTCTCTCTGGTGAGTGCATGTATCCTGTAACAATGAAAATAATAATAATAATAAATAAAATTAAACAAATAATTCTTTTAATGAAAGAATTAATAATGATAAATAAAATGTTAGGCACCAAGTCTGGGACTCAAACCATGGTCAGCCATGCAGGAGTCTAGCACTTTAATTACCACACCACCTACTGGCCCTACCCCTTTAGGTTTCTTACATCTCTTATCCTGAGAGCTCAGAGCACTCATTAGCTCCATTATTCTGGTAGACTGAGAGATCTTTCTGAGCATATTCAGGCTTGCAAAGAGATTTGACTATGGATACACAGTGAGGGCAAACCCGAATCGGAGGATTTGAGAGAATGGGGGGAAATAAGCTAGCATTTATTGAGCACTAACTATCTGTCAGGCACTGCGTTAAGTGCTTTATATGCATTTTCTTTTCCTCACAACAGTTTATGAAGTACTAATATCACTTGCATTTTTTAAAACTTGTCAGAGGGCACACCTGCTTGCCACAGAGAGACAAAGACAGAAAGAGGGAGGGAGAAAGCACCCCCAAGTGGGTCATGGTGGTACCATAATCCTTTGTCCCCCATTTCTTCATGCTGTCAATATTTGGGGCATGCATGCACATGCACTGGTGTGTTTTTCAAGCAGCTGGGGCTGGGACTCAAGCTGCACAGTAAGCCATGTGAGGTCCAGGTCCCTTAACCAGTAGGCCATGGGACTGGCTCTGCATTTTATTTTACTTACTTACTTACTTAATTTTTAGAGAGATTTTTGCTATAGATTTTTGTGCATTCACTAGAGAGACAGAGAGATAGAAAGTAAGAAATCACCCTCCAAGGGTTGGCCACACCACAATCCTTTCTCCTCCATTCTCCTCTCAGGATTTTGGGCATGCACATATACACACCCGACATATGTATACTTACACTTCCAGGTCCAGGACTCAAACTGTGGTTGACTATGTGGGAGCCCAGCATCGTAACCATTATGCCATCTGCTGGTCCCTATTTATTTACCACCTTAACCACCACACCATCTGCTAGCTCATTTGCTTTATTTCTTTATTTTAGAGGTTTTTGCCATAAGGCGCGTGTGCTTGCTAGAGAAGAGAGACAGAGATAGGGACAGTGAGAGGGCAAGTGAGAAATTGCCCCCTGGGGGAATGGCCACACTGCAACCCTGTCTCTTCCATTCTCCTTCTGGGATCTTGGGCACATATGCACATGTGCCTGGTGTGATTTTCAAGGCACTGGGTCCAGGACTTGAACCATGGTTAGCCATGTGGGAGTCCAGCAACATAACTGCTACACCATCTGCTAGCCCCTGGCTTTGCGTTTTAAAGAAAAGAACAGGTCCAAGTGAGACAGTGAGTGACAGAGCCAGGACTTGAACTCTAGCCTGTTGGGCTCCAAAGTCCACGACTTTAACTACGAAGCACTACTGCTGAGGTAAACAAGTGGTGGGGGGTAGACTGGAAGGGAATGAAACAGGTAAAGATTTGGGAGGGGAGACTAAAACCAAGAAATTCCTATGGCCCAAGGTCTTTGGGCACCTGTGTACAGTGGTCAGAAGCACCCCTGCCTGTAGAAATATTCCTCCCTGAGTTCTTCTGCTCACAGAAGAATCTTAATTGTTGACACCAAGTTTGGGTCAGAGGGCAGGAGACAAAGAGAAGGCAGGCAATTAGGACGTGAAGCTTATGGCTTTGGAACTCCTCCCAAGCCATTAAATTGTTTTCTTTCTAGAAAAGTTGTGTCTTCCCACCCAAAATTAGTTAGAACCTCATCGTGCTTGGATGGTATGTAACATTTGCTCCGTCCGTAATCGATAGATGTTTTCAGAACTTGGACTTAAAGGCTCTCCCAGGGTTGTTCCCAGCTAGAAAGAGTTCCCACCAGCCTGGGGTTCCTGTAAGTTTTAGCTCCCCTCTTCACCCTGCCCAGTGATGGAATGGGACTATCAGAGATCGTGACCTGGAGAAACATAGTCCAAGTTTGGGCAAGGCTGGGCTTGGAAACTGTAATTCTAATTCATTATCCAAGGGATAGCTACTTAGGGGAAGGTAGTAGCGTAAAGAAAATAAACAGACCACAGACTGCCACAAGCTGGAGTGGGCCCCTGGCACCCAGCCGCCTCTGTCTGCACAGGCCCAGCTTGGTGCTTCCCTGACCGTGAGAGGCCAAGGCAGAGGAGGGCCAGGCCAGAGGCTGTGGGGAGCCCAGCGGAGGAACGGGAACCCAGCTGGGCGGCTCCACTTCCCCACGTTGTTTTCCTTTCACATTGTTCGCAGGTTTCGAGAATGATTTCATTGTGGAAAATGAGCAAACACAACCTGACCTTTCAGGTCCCACAGATGCAGCAGGACACGCACAGAGGAGCACACGGCATACGCACACATCTTCAGAGGCCCACAGTCATACCTGGGTACACAGCCAAGCCCATGAGGGCTTCTGACTGGGGCCGCCTGTAACCGACGCCTCTCTGGGTTTGGCCAATAATGACCATTTCCAAAGTAGCCTTTGCCCATGAGAGTGATCAGCCGCTCTCTCTGTAAGCCTCCTGCTTATACCTCAGAACTTGCTTCCTGTGAGGCCTCTGCCTCCAGCTGGGGGAAGGCAGAGAGAGCCCAGCTACAAACCCTAATCCCCAACCACATCTCGTTCACCACTTCCCATCTCTTCCTCTTTTTTTTGAATTATTTGTTTAATTTTATTTATTTATTTATTATTTAATGTAACCAGAGAGAGAGGAAAAGGGAAAGTGAGAAAGCAAACTGCTAGATCTGAGACTTGAACCACGGCCGGCCATGTGGGAGTCCAGTGCCTTAACTACCACACCACCTGCCCTCCCCCCCGTCTCTTTCTCTTGAGGCACGGTCAGGATGACAGTCTTCCCAGCAGTAGTGTAGGGTAAACATTAGCCTAGAGCCCTGGCATCCTGAGTCCTTGTCTAGACGTGGCAGGTCATCTACCCTCTGTCCTTGGCATGGCACTGGTTTAAAACCTTCCCCTGACCTGGTGTCGGTTTGGTATAATATCTGTGTAGGACTGAAGAGACAGGAAAGAACTTTGGGATGCTGGACCATGAGTTGGTGATTGGTGCCATTGTGTCACAGGCTCCATGAGCTAAGCCCACCTCCTTTACCCTTTGGCTGCCAACTGGGCCTGCCCTCCAGTGTGGGAGGCTTAGGAAACCAAAGGCCTGAGTTCCTCCACGGGCTCTGTGAAGTCAGGAGAGTTACCAAGCTAACCAATATGTTTTGCTTTCTCTTACAGGCCGCAACTCCCAGCCCGTCACAACCCAGACCTCTAGCCCTCAGGGTAAGGATGAACACACAGGGCCTGCCCCCGCTTTTAGGCAGAAGTTTAGGAAGGGTGGAAGAAGCTTAGGCCAGTTCAGCACTGACTTCAGGTGTGGGACTGAGGCCAGAGATCCCAGGAGCTCATTTTCCCAGAGGATGAGTGCATCAAGATTTGCCCAATCTCTTAATGATATGCCTTGAAAAAGGAGGGGGATGGATAGTAGGAGGCAGGGAGGTAGTTAAGGGAGCAAGACTCCAAAACACCAGAAATAGGGAAGAAGAGGGAGGCAGAGCAGAAAAGGCAGCAGACTCCTCAGCCTTAGACGATCTGTTTCAGGAGCCTTCAGCAGCCCGAGTCTGACCACCGAGCCTGTTTCCCCCAGCACAGGTGAGTGAGCGTGGTTCCGCAGGGGCTGCTCTCCCATCTCACTCATCTGCCCATCCCGAGCCATTCAAACCCGCTTGGAGACCAAGGTTTCTTGGATGGGTGAGGGAGTGATGTCACCAAACCTCCCCACCTCCAACCTCTGTCTTTGCAGGAAACCTCCCTTCTTCAGAGCCTAATAGACCAAGCCCTCTGCCAAGGACTGGCAGCTCAGGTACTCCGCCATTCAGACTGCAAATGCCAGCCAGGGAGGGCCTGGTGAGGAGCCAGACACTGTTTCCGCTCTAATGGAGAATATGGACCAGTGCAGGACCAGCAGAAAACAGAACCTCATTTGAAATTACAAAGCAGGGTGGGAAGGGCTGTGATGGGCATCAGCAGAAGGTGTGGTGGGAGCCCAGACAGACATCTGCTACTTCAAACCTGGGGGCCAGGAAGGACGTCCCTGAGTGGGTGGTCTCCGAAGCTGAGCCTAAGAATGACTTAGAGGAACAGATGAAAATCATGAGGTGAGGGTGGGAGAGCATATTCCCAGCAGAAGGAACTACCCAGGTAAAGGTCCAGAGGTGAACCTGACAGTTTCCCTTTCTGGAATCAAAAGCAGTAAAGGAAGGGATGATTTTGTTTGAAAGAGCCTTCCCTGTACATGTGTTGGCTAAGGCCCTAAACAAGCCTATACATGCTTCCTAATCCACAGCAGCCTCAAAAAAGACCTCACAGCTCCCCGAGGTAGCGAGTACACCAGTGACACCAAAGCCAAACACCATGGATGGTCACTCCCCGACCTTGCTGGGCCTGACTCCGCCCCAGCCACAGAAGCACACGTCAGGACTTGGTAAGTACTGAGCGCAGGCCGGGTGGGGGTGAGGACCCTGGGTTATGTCTGGGTGGGTTCCTTGTTCCCGTTTTTAGGAGGGCCAGGTACTGCCCTTAAATCAGGGGTCTTGAGCCAGGCTCTTCACCAATGGCAGCGGGCTTGGGGAACAATGCAGAGGTGGTGGGGAAGAGAGTCGGGAACTTGGACCTGGTCACAAGTCGGGTAAGTTGCCTGGACTTGTGACTGACAAAGGCAGAGAGAAGTAGGCAGAAAAGAAGGGAGGCAGAAAAGGTTGGGAAAGGGCTGGACTCAGGGCAGGTTGGCCTTCACCGGGCAGCCTAGGAGAAGAGCTGCTCTGAGGGTGCCCTCCGCCTTGGCCTGCTGTTTCCTGGTGCAGGCCCAGTGCTCCAAGCAGTGGGGGCAGCGCAAGTGGAGGAACATCCGTCTGAGTGCACAAGAACGAGGAAGGAGCTGGAGGAGCATGTCTGTGACCCTGTCTCTCATCCTACCCCTTGGCTCTTTTACCTTCCCAGACTCATTTGGGAGGGGTGAGACGAGAGAAGAAAATGGAGCCCTGATCAGGCCTAAAGTATTGGGTTGTGGGAAAAGTCATGATGTGTTTTTTCTATGCGAAAATGCGTCGTGACTTCCCATAACCCAATACAGTGAGTGGAGGAGTGGAAGAAAGGGGTGGCCACAACCACTTTTGAAGAAGGCTGGGAACCAGTGTCCCTTGACTGGCAGCCTGGCTTGTTGGCTCGATGCCTGAAGATAGGTATCCGTGTCCTTCATTCCTCCCACCTGAACTCAGCGAAACACAGATGGCTCTGCCTCGCCCAGTCTAGCTTCCTGTATCTGCAACATAAATCTCTTTCCCCTGGCCCCAAGGGCTGGTGGGAAGAGTACAACCAGGGAAACATCCTGGGCCCACTTGGGTCCTGGACCCCTCCAGAACAGGTGACATGAACAACTAGCAATGCTAGTCTCCACATGACCTCACATCTCTACAACTCCAACCTCTATCCTCACAGGATGTGGTCAGAGTGACAAAGAGGAAGCCGTTTTTGTAGGGCGTGAGCTTTCTCTGCAACCTTTTACCCCGGGGGAAGCAGGAGGGAAGCAACCCCTCTCTCGCAGGCTGTGAGTCCCCTTCACTGAAGCACCTAATCTGACTCTATTTCAGACTCCTCAAAAAATGTTTCTCCCAATTCAACCACCATAAGCCTGAGGACAAGGGAAGACTTGACCATTCAGCCCAGCCCCACTTCAGAGACTGTGCTCACTGTGGCAGCATTTGGTGAGAGAGTGGGGAAGGTGGGCCTGGGGGAACCCTGTCCCAGAAACTGACTCGGACTCTGGATCTGGAAACACAAGTTGGAATCTCACCTATTCGTTCCGGAAGGGACTGGCCAACAAGGAATGCCCTGGTGGGGAGAGGGTGCTATTGGCCCTGCAGTCAGCTCTTCCTGGCTCCTCTGGGCTCCGCGTTCTTCAGGGAGGCTGGAGCCGGGCTGCAGGGCTCGCTCTGGCGGGGCCATTAGACTGAGAGCTCATTCATCAGCAGAGAAGTGGAATTCTCTTTGCTCCTTGAGCACTTGGCTGGGAAGAGGGATTCTGGACCCTTGTTGCTTCCATTTGTTGGCTCCTCTGCCTCCGCTCACCTACCCTTTTCCCTGTCCAGGTGTCATCAGCTTCATTGTCATCCTGGTGGTCGTGGTGATCATCCTAGTCGGTGTGGTCAGCCTCAGGTTTAAGTGTCGGAAGAACAAGGAGTCTGAAGGTACACATCCTGGCCTCGGGGGCCCCTTTGTCCTTCGTTGCCAGGGAGCCAGAGCAGGAGCCCAAGGCTGACGCCCAGCCTAGAGCTGAAGGAAGGAATGGCACACAAGTACCACTTGATGAGTTGGGAGGTCCCTTTGGGTGGACTTTGAGGGGAAGGCTGGACTTCTGAGTTGTGGACCCCAACCTGTGCCCTCGGATTTTTACAGATCCCCAGAAACCAGGGAGTTCCGGGCTATCTGAAAGGTAAGATAGTGAGAAGTGCAAAGGAGGGATCTCCTGTCTGACACCCCGCCACCGCCCCACTCCAAAGGGGAAGCGGTACTTCCTGCTTTCTCCACACATATATTCACACACACCACACAACCCACACCTCCCCACCGCACCCCCTCCACACCACCCCAAACCACACCTGCACACTTACACACACCACACAACCCACACCTCCCCACCGCACCCCCTCCACACTACCTCAAACCACACCTGCATGCTCACATACCACACAACCAACACCTCCCCATCGTACCCCCTCACACCACCCCAAACCACACCTGCACACTCACACACACCACACAACCCATGCCTCCGCACCGCACCCCCTCCACACCACCCCAAACCACACCTGCATGCTCACACACACCACTCCTCACACCACACACACCCACACTGTACCACATGCATGCACCTATACACACCACCACCCCTAACCACATCTGCACACTCACATATACTAGTCCCCACACCACACAACCCATATACTCGCACACCGTACCACATACACATTATACCACCACCTCACACTACACACACCAGAAAACCCCACAACCCATACACCCCCACATATACCATACTACATACACATATACACACACTACCTGCCACACTCACACACACCACTCCCAACCCATATACACACACCATAACACATACAATGATCCCCTATACCTGCATTCACCTCCATACCCTTCCCATATTACGTAACACTACATATACACACATGTACACCATAATACACACACAACACATAATGCACTCACATATAACCCCCACACCAAACACACAACACACCCCATACCATGTGTCTGCTCAGCATGTGTGCGCACACACACACACACATACATACACACATAAATTCTGACCACCTCCACTGATGCCAGAGCTGGAGTAGGGAGGACAGGACAAACCTGAAAGAACACAAGGAAACAATCAGGTGACAGGAAATAGATAGAACTCTTCAGCGCCCAGGACTCAGCCTCCTTAATCCCTCCATGAAAAGTGTACGCATTCAGGGACCAGCAGGTGGTGTGGCAGTTAAGGCACTGGACACTCCCATGTGGCTGACCATGGTTCAAGTCCCAGACCTGGTGGCTTGCTTTCTCACTTTCCCTCTCTCTCTCTCTCTCTCTCTCTCTCTGTGTGTGTGTGTGTATGTGTGTGTGTGTGTCTCCCTCTGGTCAAATTTTTAAAAATTATTCAGATTCTAATAAAAGCAGACACACCCTCTAAGCTTCAGAAGCATTATTGAAAATCTACCATGTGCCAGACATCATGATATATATGAGAGGTCTTCAGATATTCATGGAAAGGGGCCAGCAGATGGCGTCATGCTTATGTCGCTGGACTCTCATGTAGCTGACCATGGTTCGAGTCCCAAATCCAGTGGCTTAAAACTCACACCAGGCTTAAAACTCACATGTGTGTGTACATGCCCAAAATCCTAAGAGGAGAATGGAGAAGAAGGATTGCAGCATGGCCATACCCCTCGGGGGGTCATTTCTTGCTTTCTGTCTCTTTCTCGCCCTCAGGTCAGCACGTGTCCTATAGCAAAAACCTCTCTAAAAAAAAAATCTCATGGAAAATACATATTATGAATAAATTATATGGGCATTTCTAAACTTTTTGCACCAAAATAAACTCATACTTTAATTTTATCTTCCACGAACTTTTTGTGATATTTCAAATCTGTTCAGCAATTTTTCAAGGTAGATATTACTTCATTCTATGTGGTAAATTAAAAGAAAAACAGGTGGGTCCAGCCGGTGGCATGGTGGTCAAGGTGCTGGACTCCCACACAGCCAACTATAGTTCGAATCCTGGACCTGGTGCCTTGCTTTGTACCTTCCCTCTCTCTTTCTCTCTCTCCCTGTCTCTCTCTCTTCTGAGTGCACATGCCCTATAGCAAATGAAAATAATAATAATAAATGAAATGAAATAAATAATTTTTTTAAAAAGTGGCCTAAGGAGGTTGTAACTTGACAAAGATCAAGTAACTAGTACGTCATAAAACCAAGATTTAAATACAAGTCTTGTGAACTCCAAAGTACATTCTCATTTGATTGTGGATCACCACCAAAATAAAGATTTTTTGAAACAAAGTACTAAGGTTCAACGACCCCAGCCCCACAGTTCCTTCTCTCTTGCTGCCCTCTGCCCCCTCATCTCTGTAACCCAGACTCCCTTCCTACCCCAGCTGTTCCGCAGCCAATGGAGAGAAAGACAGCATCACCCTCATCTCCATGAAGAACATCAACACGAATAACAGCAAAGGATGCCTCTCAGCGGAGAAGGTGCATTTTTCTTTTATTTTTCTTCTCCCCCCCAAGTTCACTTTCTCCGCTCTCCTCCTACCTTCAGGCTCTACTTCCTTAGCCTGAAAGGAGATACTTTCAAAGCCCTCAGCTCTTCTGCCCTCTTCCTTACCCCACCATTTCCAAGAAGTTTACCCTTCTTCATTGTTTATTTACCTTGCAGATTCTTTAAAAGCAACTCGGGACCCCACAGATCCAGGACGATGCAGCTGCTCTATAGCTGTGAGAAAGACGACCTGGGATTGGTAGAGGCAGTGAACCACATATAAATTATTTTATTGTTTCCGGTCCACTCCCGGATCTATAGGATATGAGCATTCCTCCAGATCTGGAAGCAAGCTACCAATATGACAGACTCTCCACTATGGACAGCCACTCTAGAAATACAGCCTGCTCCTCCTCCTTTTCAGTCACCAGAAAGAGGAGTTGATAGAGCAAGAACACGGAAAATGATGAGGTGGATTGGTGCTTTCTACTTTGCATTAAAATTATTTTCTATCCTGTGGTCTAATTTCTTTTAAAATCTATGCACTCATGCATATTTCTTTCTTTCTTTCTTTCTTTCTTTCTTTCTTTCTTTCTTTCTTTCTTTTTTTTCTTTTTAAGAATTATTTTATTTAGAGACCAACAGATGGAGTAATGCCTATGTTGCTGGACTCCCACATAGTCAACTGTGGTTTGAGTTCAGGACTTGGTGGCTTAAAACTCACACCAGGGACATGTGCATGCTTGCCCAAAATGCCAAGAAGAGAATGAAGAAGGGGCTGCAGAATAGCCATCTCCTCTGGAGGGGGGAGGGAGGGTGTGTGATTTCTCACTTTCTGTCCCTTTATCTCTCTCTAGAGAGCACATGCACCCAATAGCAAAAATATCTCTTTAAAAAAAGAGTCATTTAATTTTTTTTTTTTTTTTGGAGAGATTTTCACTGTAGGGCGCGTGCGCTCGCCAGACAGACAGAGAGAGACATAGAGACAGAAAGCGAGAAATCACCCCCCAGGGGGGATGGTCACACCGCAATCCCTTCTCCTCCATTCTCCTCTCGGGATCTTGGGCACGCATGCACATGCGCCCGGCATGAGTTTTAAGACACCGGGTCCGGGACACGAACCGCGGTCGACTACGTGGGAGTCCAGCGACATAGCCATTACGCTAACTGCTGGTTCCCAAAAAAGAGTCATTTAATTTTTAAAATTTATTATTATGATTTACTTGACCAGAGAGAGAGAAAGGAAAAATGAGAAAGCAAGCTGCCAGATTCAAGAATTGAACTGCTGTAAGCCATGCGGGAGTTCAGGACCTTACCCACCATGCCACCTGCTGGCCCCCCTCTCCCACGCCAAACACATTTCTTTTTCTTTCTTTCTTTCTGTCTGTCTGTCTGTCTTTCTTTCTTTCTTTCTTTCTTTCTTTTTTAGGATATGTGTGCTTGCTGGAGAGACAGAGACAGAGAGACAGAAAGTGAGACATCACCACCGGGGGGATGGCCATGTTGTAATCCCTTCTCCATTCTCTTCTTGGGATTTTGGGCGCACACACACACACACACACACACACACACATACCCAGTGTGAGTTTTAAGCCACCGGATCTGGGACTTGAATTGCGGTCAACTACGTGGGAGTCTAGTAACATAACCATTTTGCCATCTGCTGGTCTCCCTGCCCCCATGCACATTTCTTAACATAATGTTCTAGCAGCTTTGGGGCCTTATTTCCTAGACCAGGCCTGTTTGCAAGTTTCTGTCTCCATGGGCAGGTCTCTGAGAAACAAGTGGAAGACAGGAATTTTTGTCGGGTCTACTCTCTTTACCTGGTTTGTTAAGTAGGGTGGAAGTGGCAAACTAATCACCCCAACTGAGGAGAGGAAAAAGGGGTTGTGAACAGTGACCTGTTGTTACCAAGTGTGAAGTCCAGATAGTGAGAACATGAGAGGCACAACACACTGTGACCCAGAAACCCCGGAGGTGAGGGCTGCACAATGCGAGAGCACATGTCCTCTGCCTCCCCGAGGTCCTAACCATGGGATGAACACTGGGAAGCTCTGGAGCCGGTAAGTGTGTGACTTACGCAAAAACCCACCCACTTTACTTTATGCAGCTGTTATCTTTATGTCCTAGAAGTAGAATAAAGAATCACAGAATTACCATAGACATTTGAAGAGGAGAAGCAGTCAACACCCCGAGAGGAGAATGGAGAAGCAATTGTGGCATGGCCGTCCCCCCTGGGGGGGCAATTTCTCACTTTCTGTCTCTCTGATTCTCCCTGTCTCTCTGGTGGGTGCACGTGCCCTGTGAAAAAAAAAAAAAAAAAAAAAAAAGGAGGAGAGGGAGAGAGGAGATATGAGGAGATATGTTTTCTTAGTAACAGGCATGGCTACCATGATGCTGGTTTGGAAGTAAATCTTGGCTCGGAAAAATAAGGGATGAGTTGTCCGTGTGTGTCTAAGGGAGTGTTTCTTAGCATCTGTGAATCTGCAGTTCGAATCCCAGGAGGGGGCCTGTAGGTGGCATAGCGGTTAAGGCACTGGACTCCTACGTGGCTGTCCCCGGTTCAAGTAGCGGACCTGGTGGCTTGAAACTCATGCCAGGTGCATGTGTGTGTGTGCCCAAAATTGCAAAAGGAGAATGGAGGAGAAGGGATTACGGCATGGCCATCCCTCTTGGGGGAGGTGATTTTTCACTTTCTCTCTCCCCATCTTTCTCTGTCTCTCTACTGAGCACACACACCCTACAAAAAAAAAAAAAAAAAAAAGGGGAGAACACAGCTTACTCATTCTGAAGCGACAATGTTGGTATTTTCTTATGGTTTAGACTTCACAGGGTGGTATGAGAAAGACTAAAATAAAACGTTTCACTTTCCCTGTCTCATTAAAGCTGTTAAAGCAAGACTGAAGAAACCTACTGGATTCTAATTTCTTTCAGGGCTGGGTCCATACCTGCTTGTCTCTGTTGCTCCTGGGTCCACACTGCCTGGCACATCCTAGGTGGTAATATTGGCTCTTGGGTGAAGGAAATCTGATTATAAGGCTCTGCTTCAGACTTGCAGCTTGACTTTGGTGAAACCATCCCCCTTCCCTGTTTTCTTTCTTTCTTTCTTCTTCATATTTTTTTGGAGAGGTTTTTTGCTATAGGGCACATGCGCTCGCCAGAAAGACAGAGACAGAGAGAGAGAAAGTGAGTAATCACTCCCCGGGGGGATGGCCACACCGTGATCCCTTCTCCTCCATTCTCCTCTTGGGATCTTGGGCACGCACGCACACGCGCCCAGCGTGAGTTTAAGCCACCGGGTCCAGGACTCGAACCGCAGTCGGCTACATGGGAGTTCAGTGACATAGCCATTATGCTAACTGCCGGTACCCCCTTCCCTATTTTCTTACTTTGAAAGTGAGGTGAGGTGGCTGGACTATTTAGCCTTCCCTATCTTCCTGAGTTCTTTTTTTTTTAGAATATTTATTTATTTATATATTGGAGAAGTTTTTGCTATAGGGTGCATGTGCTCGTCAGAAAGACAGCAAGAGACAGAGAGACAGAAAGTGAGAAATCACCTCCAGGGCCGGGCGGGGATGGCCTCACCGCAATCCCTTCTCCTCCATTCTCCTCTTGGGATCTTGGGCACGCACGCACACGCGCCCAGCGTGAGTTTAAGCCACCGGGCCTGGGACTTGAACCATGGTCAACTACATGGGAGTCCAGCGACATAGCCATTACACCAACTGCTGCTTCCTAGAATTATTTTATTTAACTTTACTTATTTATTATTGATTTGACCAGAGAGGGACAAGAGTGGGAGAAAGAGAGAAGGAAAGTGAGAAAGCGAGCCACCAGATCTAGGACTCATAGTGTGGTCTGCCAGGTAGGAGTCCAGTGCTCTTAACCACTATGCCACCTGCTGGCCCCTCTAGTTCTTTTTTTCAATAAAAAATTTTTAAAATAATTATTTATTTGTTTAATTCCATTTGTTATTATTATTACTGTTAAAATTTGATGAGAGAGAGAGAGCAAAAGTGAGAAAACAAGCCACCAGATCTGAGATTCGAACAGCAATCAGCCATGTTGGAGTCCAGCGCTCTTAACCACCACATCATGGGGCCGGCAGGTAGCATGGTGCTTAAGGGTACTGGACTCTTACATGGTTGACTGCTGGACCTGGTGTCTTGATTTCTCACTTTCCCTTTCTCTCTTTCTTCCTCTCATTCTCCCTCTCTGGTCGAATTAAAATAAATAAAGTTAAATAAAATAATTAAACAAACAAACAAAAGCCATGCCACCTACTAGTCCCCTTAGTTCTTTTTTTAATTAATTTTTTTCTTTTGTTTTGTTTTTTGGCTATATGGTGTATGTGCTTGTGGAGGGAAGAGTAGCAAGAAAGCATCCCTAGTGGGGATGGCTTCACCATAATCCCTTCTCCTCCATTCTCTTGAGATTTTAAGCATGCACATGTGCCTGGCACGTTCTTCAAGCTGTTGGGTCCAGCCTTGAACCATGCAGCTGCCATGCCTTTGCCATCCACTGGCTGATCTTCTTTTCTAGTTCTTTTATTCTTTTTCTTTTCTTTTCTTTTTTTCCCCCATTTTTGCTATAGGGCATGTGTGCTCACCAGGGAGAAAAAGAGGAAAAGTGAGAAATGACTCCTTGAGGGGTGGAGGGGTTGGCCATGCTGCAAGTGCTCCTTCACTCTCCGCTCAGGATGTTGGACATGCATGAGCAGGCACCTGGCTTGGTTCTCAAGCTGCTGGGTCCCGTAACTGTGAAGCTGGCCACATAGGATCCATTGCCTTAACGCCCACGCCATCTGCTGGCCCACTAGTTCTTATATTCTACAGTTCAGTAAACTCTAGATGTAGGAACAATGAGCACAATCTGTTGAGTAGATTACTCTGGGTAGGAGACAGAGATAAGTCTTGGGTGACTCTGGACAAGCCTACTGTTTCCCCATGCATTAATGGGGCCGGGTGATCTCTGCCTGGCCCTGTCTACCCCATGGGCAACTAGGTGGGTAAAATGGGACAAGTGTGGAGGCACTGGGAAGTAGGAATACTAGCTGACAGCTGCAGCAGACAACACGGAGCACCTCCACCCTGGTCCCACTCCAGGACAAAGGCATGTTCCCAGCTGCTGGAGGACTGGCTGCTGAGGGCTCACAGGTGGTTGATGAATGGCTGTTGGAGAGTGGAAGTGAGGAACAAGACCTGGACTCCTAGCCTCAACTTTTCCCCCTGCCCAATTCTGTACCCTGTACTCCTCACAGCTATCGTTCTCGGGGGTACTCACTAATAAACCTTCTGCATGCAAATCTCAGCATCTCAGAGTCTGTTTCCTGGCATGCCCAATCTATGAAAGCAATACTGCAGTATTTTCTGGAGTAAGTCATATATATTTTATTTAAACCACACTGTAAAAAGCACATGACTAGCTACTTGCAGTACGAAAACCCATCACTGGAATGGAACCCTGCAGGTGACACAACAATGTCTAGAAGTACAGGATTCTGTTTGAACTGTTATTCTGACTGCCATGGGCACTTAGTTCGGCTGCTTATCATACCAGACTGATCAGGTCAAGGACATGGGTTTCACTCTTGGTAACAGTCACTGTCTCCATTCTAAGGCCACGAATTTCCCCCTGACTCTGGACAATGCCCTGTAAATGTGAGCTGCTGGTTATAAGGTATTTACATGTGGGGGGAGATGGTATGAATTGGTAGTGATATCTTTGAGTCTGAAAGGCTTTTTACCCTGATGCTGACACTATTAGCCATGTCGATTTTCCTGTTGCTAAGTAACTCTGTCCTTTGGGAAGGGGTGGAGGATGGACTCAATGCTGAATTCTGTTCCCGTGCAAACTCTGATGTATTTGAAGAGGCTCTGCAGGAGGACCCTACCATTTATGCAAATACAGGGCCCCAGCTCTGACCGGAAATCTAGCTTCCCTGAAACCGCATCTCTTCCTTTGTGTCTAGACAACAGGATGGTGACCATTTACAAGACAACTTCCTCCCTTTTTTCACACAGGACCACATGGTCCTATAAAGCAGGAACAGGTGGCAGGGTATGGGTGTCGTGTAGAATGTCCTTCTCATTCCTTCCCGATCCTATGGGGGGGAGCAACCAACAAAGCAGTTCGCGCACACAGTCACAGTCAAATGGGGGGTCGTTCTCTTTCTTTCAGTATCTTTTTTCCAGGACTGAACGGGGCAGCATCTCAATCATACAGGCATATAGAAACTTTTCTATCACAGCAAAAATGCACTACTGTTCAACAGATTTATTGATTTATTTTATAATAGAGTGTGTGTGCTTGCCAGAGACAGACAGAGGAAAAGTGAGAAGTCCCCCCTTCCCGAGAGGATAGCCACTGTAATCCCTTCTCCATTCTCTTCTTGAGATTTTGGGCACGTATGCACACATACTCAATGTGGTTTTCTTTTTCTTTCTTTTGGAGAGGTTTTTGCTATAGGGCGCATGAGCTTGCCAGAAAGACAGAGAGACAGAAAGCGAGAAATCACCCCCCAGGGGGGATGGCCACGCCACAATCTCTTCTCCATTCTCCTCTCAGGATCTTGGGCATGCATGCACACATGCCCGACGTGAGTTTTGTCACTATGAATATTCTAAATTCTTTATCTGACATTTCCGTATGGGTTTCATTGTACTATCTGAGGGTGAAGAGGAATTATTCTTTTCCCTTGGAGGAGAGGTATTTTCTTGCTTTCCCATATTTCTTGTGACCCTGAGGTGATTTCTAGTCATCTGATGGATGGTGTGTTTCTTTCTAATTCTTGAAGTTCAATCTGAGCGTTCAGAGGCATGCAGGAGGAGGTGATCTGCAATCTCTCTTCTGTTCTGTTTTCACTCTTCGTGCATCAGAATCAGTGGGAATAGAGGAATATTCTGACCCTAATCGTATTCAGATGTTTGGATCCTGTTCACTTGGACCTGTCTAGACACTTAGTGCATAGAGGCCACTAGAAGTGAATTTGGAGGAGGGACCAGCAATTAGCTTAATGGCTATGTTGCTGAACCCCCACATAGCCAATTGTGCTTTGAGTCCCGGACCCGGTGGCTTAAACTCACGCCGGGCAAATGGGCGTGTGTGCCCAAGATCCCGAGAGGAGAATGGAGGAGAAGGGATAGCAGCATGACCATTCCCCTGGGGGGAGGGGGGGTGATTTCTCACTTTCTATCTCTGTGTCTCTCTGTCTTTCTGGCGAGTGCATGCACCCTATAGCAAAAAACCTCTCCAAAAAAAAAAAAGAGAGAGAGAGATGAATCTGGAGGGGGACCAGCAGGTAGCATGGTGGTTAAGGTGCTGGACACTCCCACATGGCTGACCATGGTTCGTGTCCTGAACCGGGTGGCTTGCTTCCTCACTTTCTCTCTCTCTCTCTCTCTCATTAAGTTAAAAAATAAATGGATGAGGGAACCAGCAGTTAGCGTAATGGCTATGTCGCTGGACTCCCACGTAGTCGACCGCGGTTCGTGTCCCGGACC